CTTCCCTCAGATGAAGGTATTGTTGAGCCCTGTTCATCGCCATTAATTGCAATTTGATTTATCGATCTATTTTCTATCGATTTAAATTTTCTGGAAGTGAGCTATTTGATAGTTTCTTTCAATGGGATGTTTCAGATTCATTCAATTATGTATGAATAAAATTTCAAGATAATATATGGCATATTTCACCAATTATCGATCAGTAATCCAGTGCTTGATTTTCGATTTGTCTGTAAATTTGACCAATTTGGGGAATATTGAGAGAAGCCTTGCTCTAAATTTTCAGCCCTCTATGTAGTCCAGTGAATGAAAAACACTCAAATTCCAGGTTTTGCTTGAACAATATTCTTCAATTTTTAACGAGTACGGGGTGGATTTTATGTGGAAAATATGTAAGACCTTTTTCCAAGAAAAATATCCACAGTTTCCCATAAAAAATACGGAAATGCTCTAGCGCCATTTTATCACGGCGCAGACGTTTTGTTCTTTCAAATATTGTTGATTTCCAACCATGCACCCATACAATTCTTCAATTTTTCTTCTTCTCCTGAAATAGTTATTTTGGTCACAGGACCGAAAAAACTTTCCTGACGAGTGTGAGGATTGCAGACTGAGGCGAAGCCGAGGAATGCATCCTCACGAGTCAGAAAAGTTGTTTTCGGTCCAGTGACGAACGCAATTTTTCTTCACACTGGCTGTAAACGTCGTTTTACAGATAGTGTGATGAAAATATGGGTTTTTGGCGAAAAGTCATGAAAAGTTAAAGATATTTTGAGGGTTCCCGGATTGTTTTCCCCCGGAAAAAAATTCCCCAGTAAAAATTTCTGGGTATCAGAACATGTACAATTGAATTACAGTTATGGAAAATTTTCAAAGATTTTGCATGCTATGCCGAATTTTTCAAAATTTTCAGTCCGAACGCTCCTCATAGATACATCCCATATAACGGGAGTCGTCAGACGAAAATTTTTTAAAAATCGATGCAGGATGCTAAATTTTTAACCCTAGTTTGGTCACCTGACGGGAAATTGCGACTCTGGTCACCTCCACGGGGATTTTCTGCCGTGTTATTTAGGCTGCAGCGTTGCCGAATTCACCCTACATTACCCGGGCGCATTTAGCGAGTTTCCAGCTACGTCACACAACGGGTAATTTCATTTAACATAGGAAAAAATTGTTCAACTGTTAGAAATGATTTTTTTCTTTGTCCAGAATTTGGGATGTAATATTTAAAAAATATATATAATTTGCCAGATACTTTTGTGGAGGTGAGCAGGTTATTAATGAAAACTCAGACATCCAACGTTGAGCGAAATATATTTGAGTTTTGAACGTGAATATTTACTGGAGTGGAGAGCTAGTCGTAAGAAGACTTGTCCTCTCTGTCGATGTGTTGTCCAGTGGTTGAGTGATGAGTGAGTGCCAAGTGAATGATTGACTGATGATGAGTTAGTTTTTAGTTTTTAAAGGTTTTTATTGATGCTAAAATATTTGTACATATATACATATTTATATACCGAGAGAGAAGAGGTTTGATAGTTTGATTCCTGCTCGATGGCTTAACTCAATTTTGAAATATTTATGTTTTTTATTTTAATAGAATTACATTTGATGTGTCTAATATATAATATATAATGTTTTTAGGAAAAGTTTCAAAGGAAAACCTAAGTAGAAATTATTTTTGTTGTTTTACACTATTTTGCAGTTTGCATGTTGCATGAATTATATGTTTGGCTCTGCATCAAGCAGTATTTGATGTGGTACTTTGTATTTATTATACATTTTATGTGCTGTGTTANCGCATGATGATGAGTGTGGAAAGTGTGCGGTATTTAAGGAGAGTACAAGGATGTNCGAGAGAGAAGAGGTTTGATAGTTTGATTCCTGCTCGATGGCTTAACTCAATTTTGAAATATTTATGTTTTTTATTTTAATAGAATTACATTTGATGTGTCTAATATATAATATATAATGTTTTTAGGAAAAGTTTCAAAGGAAAACCTAAGTAGAAATTATTTTTGTTGTTTTACACTATTTTGCAGTTTGCATGTTGCATGAATTATATGTTTGGCTCTGCATCAAGCAGTATTTGATGTGGTACTTTGTATTTATTATACATTTTATGTGCTGTGTTACAGACATTTTCGAGTATTTTGAGATTGTTAAGTTTAGATTGGTAAAAATTTATTGTATGTTCTTTTATTTTATCAGTTAACTTAGGAATACTTAGATTGTTATGGATATCNATTTTTAATGTGGGAATTGGCCCAATGTCTCGACAGGAAAATTGGGGAATTGGCCCAATGTCTAAAAAGGAAAATTGAGTGTGTGAATGTGTGTGCGTGTGTGAATAACAGAGATGTAGTGGAGACACAGTCACCACACTTTAATTGACGAATTCAATTTTTTTTTCGGACTGTTCTGGTCAACCAGCCGATGACAAGAAGAAAAAAAAAGACACGTTGCGGCAATTCCTTCGCATAGTGACCAAACTATGAGGAAGAAAATAGAAGACCTTTATGGGTGGGTCGTTGAAAAGCAACGATATTTGACAGCAAAAGAAGCTTTCACTGAGATGAAACGTTGCTGGAGCATTTCCATATTTTTTGCCGAAACTGTAGACATTTTTATAAAAAAAATGAGACGGTTTTAATGGATAAATGGTCAGGCAAGCCTATAACGCAACAGCTGTGCAAAGCGATGTTCAAGGTCAAACGGGTTAAGTGAGCAAAAATGATGACTGTTAAACGGACGATTGGAACAGAACGGCATGAGTCTTCAAATTCGCTCGGGGGTCAGGATATTCTGAGCGATGAAATGGAGCGCTCTGATTGGTTCGGCGGTACAATTTTTCGGAGGCAGGCAGAGAAACGATGAATATGAGGTTTGCGTTTATGTTGATACCTGGAAACGGATCCGTTGAAGAACATGAGCGTGAATATGAATGTAAGGTGATTTCCAAGAGAAAAAATTACTTTTCATGATAATCATCTTAAATTTGGAATGATGTAAAATTTTATTCCTGGCTTCAGAAAATTCGAAGAAGGCCTGCCACGAGAACGTCCTAGGTGTTGCGGATGTACAATAGCCTCTTTCCAGCCAATATCCCCTATAAATATATATCGACTTGCATTGCAAAACAAGAAATTCAGGTCCCATACTTTTTCCTTTCTATTGTGCAGTTTCCATAGTTATCCTATAATAGGAGAGACATGTCAAACGGCGAAGAAGAGAGCAAAATAATTCCAAAGGTCAAATGGAAAAGTGGGATGAAGTGCCATGTGACTTTTGATTGGCTCGGGAGTAAGCAGCACTCCTATTGTAGTGCAAATTTTCAGAGGCAGGCAGAGAAGCGATGGAATTCAGGTTTACGTCTAATAATTAATCAGAACTGGAAAACTGACTAGTATGTTAAAAAGGAGATTTCTCGAGTAGCGAAGATCCGGAGGGTCAATGATTTAGGCTCCACGTCATTTTTCGTTTCACGCTCGAGAGTCTTCGTTCGAATTTGAAATGTTCAGAAATGCTTGAAATGAAGCATTAAACGTTGATTCAAGTCTATCAGCTTTTTTTCTTTGGATCTAATAATTTCTTCAAAAAGTTCAGAAAATTCCTGATTGATGAAAATTAAAGAACGGGAAGTAGTTCCTCTGTAATAATCGCCGTTCCTTTATTTCTATGACAATTCCCTTCCTCTAATCATATGAAGGTAGATTTTCCAGTCTTAACTAATTCAGAATATTTAGCACAATTCCGGATCTCGTTCTCTAGGTTTTAGCATGCACCCAATAGCGCGCACCAATTCCCGCTTTGCTTTTGCAAACTTTTCTTCCGAACCAATGAGAGTGTTCCATTTTCATGGCTGGAAATTAAGGATTGCCGAGCCAATCAAAAAATTGTTGACGCTTGAACATCAGGATTGATCTGTTCCATTCTCATGTTTTTTTGAAAAATCAGGTAAAGAGCTACAGACCCTCGAAAAGTCTTTAGAATAGTGAAATGTTGCTGTACAGCGAAACTGAAAATGATAATGAGTCAGAGGCTTCTGAATGGCTCGGGGGTCAGGATTTTTGGCCAAAGGAAAAGGGGCGCTCTCATTGGTTCGGCACTACTAGTTTCTGATAGGAAAGGGAATTACGATGGGACAGACGATGGGTTTGGGTACATTTTGATACCTGGAAACTAAGCTTGAAAAAATGAAAATTGCCAAGAATTAAATAATATTCATAATGAACGATTTTGATGCTAGCGCCAGATATTCTTCATGGAAGAATAATCATTTCGCAAGGTAATTCTGCATTATTTATGGCACCAGTCATTTCAGTGCTCATGCTTCCGATATTTTCGGGGCAAGTTTGAAGATATTTTCCATGCATTCAAAAATGTCGGAATTAATCATATTAATGTCTGGAAATGAGACACTCCAGACATTGTGATGCGTACGACGCGTTGTTGACGCGTAACTGTGACGCATGTTGTGATACGTCACAACATCATGAGTCATCTATGACTCAAGATAAGTACAATATTAAACTTTGATAATACATTTGAGGAAAATTCTTCTGCTCCCACTTGGCAGTTGACAGGAGAACTTTCAGTGCAATTTATTTTGAAATTTTGTGACCATGTTCGTAATCCCCAAAATTCAAAGAACTGTATCCTCCACAATGCAAATAATTGCCATTAGTTACAGAATTACAAATTAGATAATGTTTGGTACTGAGAATGATTGTTATTGAGGAGATCATCACTTGCAAATATTGTTTGCCCAATCACAGCTCAGCTCTGCTCTATTCTCCCTTCCACTCGCTCCGCTCCAATGAGCGTTCACTCCCACCCCTACAACCGCTAGGGGGTGGCTCGTGGTCTATTTAAGGGTATGCATCGATTGTAATTACAACATTCAGTTGCGCTTTGCGATTCATCACACATCAAAGTGTAGCTGTTTACCAAACTATTATATTATTTCGAGTCACAGAGTTTTCACTTAAATTTTGACAATGAGTGCTAGAAAGTCTGGTGGAAGACAAAAACTCACGCCTATTCGGAAGTACTTTCTCTACAATTCTGAGAATGCTTACAATGAGTGTCAAGTGTCAGGTTGTTCTACTCGACTAATGGTAAGTTGGCCGTCCTATCTTCATATCTGACGCAGAAATTTCAATAAGAGATGATAATATGTTGTAGACTTGATCAAACGATAAATTTCTGTTATCTGTTCATAGGGTGACCGCAATGGAAATTTGGAGAAGCATTTGGAGCGATGGCATCCAAATGAACATGCAGCCGCCGAGCAGGAGNGTCTGTTCATAGGGTGACCGCAATGTAAATTTGGAGAAGCATTTGGAGCGATGGCATCCAAATGAACATGCAGCCGCCGAGCAGGAGAAGAAGAAGGAAGCAGATTCTCAGAAACGTGGGAGATCGAAATCTTTTTCTGTCAACATCAGCGCAGATCGAATCAAGGAACTCTACGTTGAATGGGTAACCGTCAACGGACGTCCATTTTCAATCCTGCAAGATAGCGCTTTTGTCCAGATGATCAGCCCTTTCCTTGAAGCTGCAAATCTTGCTGATGAATGCAGTTTTTCACAAGAGGCTGTGCGCAAGTTGCCTGTTCAAAAGGCCAAAGAGATTCGAGCATCCATACGAGATGAGTTGAAGGTATTACAACACATATTCTTCAATTATGTTTTTCATATCTATTGTATTTTTATCGGAACAATGCCAACCTCCTTCAGTTGTAGATAGTCATTATCTTTATATGATTCCAGGGGAAACTCATCTGCTTGAAGGTTGATGCTGCCACACCTCATGATCGAGGGTTCATTGGAATCAATGTGCAATTCATCGAAAATGGGGCCATCCATGTTAGGACTTTAAGAGTGATTGTGCTCTTCGATAAACACTCAGCTGACTATCTGAAAGGGGTAATCACGGCAGTCCTGGAGAAGTATGAAATAGATATTTCGAGTATCTATTCTTTCACATCAGACAACGGTGCCAACATGGTGAAACTGGGGAAACTCTTCTCGGAGGATCAATCTAAACTGATTGAAAAGGACGATGAGAGCGAAGAAGAGGAGGAGGATGAGGAAGATGAAACTCCGTTAGGCGCAGATGTGTCCTTGGGCATCAACAGCTTCGAAGTCTGTACCTTGTGTAATGGCCGTGGTGAACTCATCTCCAACATACGATGTGCTGCTCACACTCTCCAGTTAGCTGTTGAGGATGCTCTCAATAAATTGAAGGGCTCGAGGAACACACTTGTGAAAGCTCGGACGGTTGCAAAAGCTTTGCGAACCCCAACCGTGAGGAAACAATTGCAGTGCATGCAGCCTGGAGCAAAAAAGCCGAAGTTAGATGTCGTGACACGTTGGCACTCAACAGCGGACATGTTGGGATCATTGTTGGAGGTGAAAGATTTCTGCAGGAAGTCTTCGAAGACATTCAAAGCTCTAGAATTATCCGAGAAGGACTGGCAGTACGTCAAGGATTATCTGAAGTCGCTGATGCCTGCTAAGATTGCCACCAAACGCCTCCAAGAGGAGCAGTTGACTCTCGGATCATTTTTCGGCATCTGGCTGGTATGCAAATGTGAGACACAGATGGTAGATACGTCTCTGGCAACTGAGCTCGTGACAGCAATGGAGAAAAGGGAAGAAAAACTTCTGGAGAACGAATCTCTCCTAGCCTATTTAGATCCAAGATTTCTACCATTACTTTCGGACAAGCATCGTTCAGCACCCATTGCGAAGCTGGAGCGAGTCTGGGCGATTGTGGAGGAACGCAATAAAGCTTCAAACGATCTACGATTGAGTTTGCCCATTAATAGGGGTAGATGTGGCACCCAGACGAGTGAATCAAGCAGTAGTAGTGCTACTAATCAGGGTTTCAAGAGTGATCGCTTCCGGAAAATGTTGAGCCAAGCAGCTGCTGCTCAAATGAAAAATCCCACTGCTGTTTCGAACATCAAGCGCATTCTGAAAGTCTTTGCAGAGACGGCTCTCGCTGATGGCTTCGTCGATCCTGATATGGATATCCTGCAATACTGGGAAAGTAAAAAATGTGCGATGCCCCAACTGTACCAACTTGCAACAATCGTACATTCAGCACCAGCTACACAAGTGACAGTCGAAGGAATGCGGTACATCTTGGATACGCTGAGGGCCAACTTGAAGCCACGAATTTTAGATGATATCTTGGTTGTACGATGCAATAGCCAAAATAAGTCAAGAGTTCAGAGGGTTATGGAGAAGGCAACTAGCAAACGTCGGAGGAGGCACACCGAAGGAAGCACACCCACGACTGAATCTTCTACTGCCAACACTCCTACAGATGACGAGACTAGAAGTTTAGAATCAACGATTGATGCTTCAGATGATTCCCTACTTGGTGTTCTGTCTTCAAGAGTAGCAATGTCGAGCGAAGTCCCTTTTAATAAATTCTAAGAACTGTGATAATATTGTTGCATTCATATCAGTAATAAACCATTGTTATCAATTGCATTGACATTTTATAAGTAGTTGATTATCTCATCATATGAATAATGTAATAAATTCAACTACAAATGAAAAATACTGTTATCCCATTATTTTAATGATCCTGAAGTTGGCGAGAAAGCGCAGCGAGAATCATGCGGGGCCCTGCGCCTCGATCTCTTACGGCACTGACTAATGTTCGTCCACTCTGAGGGTGTTCTCTTACATTCCCAATGCTTATGAAAGGACATAAACATTTTCGACATGATTATTTGTTTATGCAACTTAATTTTTTCATGAATTAACATGACTCAATTGATTTGACCTTTGACGTGGGTTCACCCTAGGGGTGGGGGGGCTCGAAAAATAACACCATTGGGCGGCGCCATCATTTTTTGACAAGTCAAATCAATTTTCTTATCAATCAACATTACTTAATTAATTTGACCTTTGACGAGGGTTCACCCTAAGGGTGGGGGGACTCAAAAAATGGCGCCATCAGGCGGCGCCATGATTCTTTGACAAGTCAACTCTATTTTTTTTATCAATTAACATTACTCAATTGATTTGACCTTTGGCGTGGGTTCACCCTAAGGATGGGGAGACTCGAAAAATAACACCATTGGGCGGCGCCATGATTCTTTGACAAGTCAACTCATTTTTTTTTATCAATTAACATTACTCAATTGATTTGACCTTTGGCGTGGGTTCACCCTAAGGATGGGGAGACTCGAAAAATAACACCATTGGGCGGCGCCATGATTCTTTGACAAGTCAACTCATTTTTTTTTATCAATTAACATTACTCAATTGATTTGACCTTTGGCGTGGGTTCACCCTAAGGATGGGGAGACTCGAAAAATAACACCATTGGGCGGCGCCATGATTCTTTGACAAGTCAACTCATTTTTTTTTATCAATTAACATTTCTCAATTGATTTGACCTTCGGCGCGGGTTCACCCTGGGGGTGGGGGGACTCAAAAAATAGTACCATCAGGCGGCGCCATCATTTTTTGATAAGTCAGCTCTATTTTTTTATCAATTAACATTACTCAATTGATTTGACCTTTGGCGTGGGTTCACCCTAGGGGCGGGGGGACTCAAAAAATTCTACCATCAGGCGGCGCCGTGATTTTTTGACAAGTCAACTCAATTTTCTTATCAATTAACATTACTCAATTAATTTGACCTTTGACGCGGGTTCACCTTAGGGGTGGGGCACTCAAAAAATGGTACCATTAGGCGGCGCCATTATTTTTTGACAAATCAACTCTATTATTTTATTAATCAACATTACTCAATTGATTTGACCTTTAACATAGGTTCACACCAGGGGTGGGGGACTCTACGAATAACACCGTTAGGCGGCGCCATGATTTTTTGACAATTCAACTCACTTTTTCTATCAATTAACATTGCTCAATTGATTTCACCTTTGGCGTGGGTTCACACCAGGGGTGGGGGGACTCGAAATGCCGCTCGATGACGCCATTTTTTGATTTCCTTCACCCTTAGGGTGGACCCACGTCAAAGGTCAAATCAATTGAGTAATGTTAATTGATTAAAAAATTGAGTTGACTTGTCAAAAAATCACGACGCCGCCTGATAGTGCCATTTTTTGAGTCCCCCCACCCCTGGTGTGAACCCACGTCAAAGGTCAAATCATTTGAGTAATGTTGATTGATAAAAAAATTGAGTTGACTTGTCAAAAAATCATGGCGCCGCATGATGGCGCCATTTTTTGAGTCCCCCCACCCCTGGTGTGAACCCACGTCAAAGGTCAAATCATTTGAGTAATGTTGATTGATAAAAAAATTGAGTTGACTTGTCAAAAAATCATGGCGCCGCATGATGGCGCCATTTTTTGAGTCCCCCCACCCCTGGTGTGAACCCACGTCAAAGGTCAAATCATTTGAGTAATGTTGATTGATAAAAAAATTGAGTTGACTTGTCAAAAAATCATGGCGCCACCCAATGGTGTTATTTTTCGAGTCACCCCACCCCTAGGGTGAACCCACGCTAAAGGTCAAATCAATTGAGTAATGGTGATTGATAAGAAAATTGAGTTGACTTGTCAAAAAATCACGGCGCCGCCTGATGGTACCATTTTTTGAGTCCCCCCCCCCCTAGGGTGAACCCACGTCAACGTCGAATCAATTGAGTAATGTTAATTGATAAAAAAAATAGAGTTGACTTGTCAAAAAATCATGGCGCCGCCTGATGGCGCCATTTTTTGAGTCCCCCCACTCCTAGGGTGAACCCACGTCAAAGGTCAGATCAATTGAGTAATGTTAATAGATAAAAAAATTGAGTTCACCGTTGACGATATTTTTTATATTAGATTTTGACTCGAACGTAAGTTTCTCTGTTCAGTCGCGCGCCGGTGGCTTCCCTTCCCCTTCTCGATGAAAGCCACTGTTAACATCGATTTGTTTTGGATTCAGTATCCCTCCTCCCCCCCCTGCTTAAGTCGCGTACACAAATTCGGGGTCTCTCAATTGGCTACGTGTGCGGCAGAATCAGATCGTTCGGAGACGTTCTGCAGTTCAGTCGATGTGCCCTGGCAATCTTCACTTACGCATAGTGACAACATTTTAATCCGATTTTGCACAGAAGGCGATTTGTCAATTTTTATGGAAAACTTCCAAGCAGTTGTGGAAATAGTGCATAGGGGGAAGTTGAGAGGGTCTCTGATTCTCAGGGATATCAACACAAGATTGATCGGAATCAACAGGTTAGTACATGTTTACGAGAATTACTTGTCAAGATTTCAGTTCCCTGGAATTCGATATTCATTTTTCACCAGCGGGTGACATTTCTCTTTGTATTGTTGCGCATTTTTTTTTTGCTGTGAATTTACGAAAGTATGGATTCATTTAATTCAATTGTTTGATCATACTCATACCCACCGGATGGGAGAAGTAAAAAATGAGGTCATTACGTTGCGCACTAATTACGCATTTCTTCAATTATTTTTTTCTTTTTTTCAATATGGGTCAATCTTATCTATTCAGGGTATCTGTATAGTCACGAGGTGGGGCGATTAAAAAAACAGAGTCATCACGTGACGCGATAATTGATCATTTTTCCAAACATTTTTTTGGCCAATGAATATGGGTTTATCAACTCTATTTCGATCATATGTCTAGCCAGGGGGTGGAGGAGTCAAACAATGCTGTCATTACGTGGCGTGGTAGTAAAACATTTTTTTCATCATTCCTTTTTGCTAATTGACATGGGTCAATCTCCTCTATTTTGGGCATATGAATACCTACGGGGTGGGGGGAGTCGAAAGGTGCAACCCGGGTAGAAATTCAACCGGGGATTCAGCCGCAACTCGGGTGAGCGCGAGTTCAGCCTCGGCTTGCCGCTTGACCCGAGTTCACGCCGCGACACGCCGCTCCATACCGGCTCACAGTCGAATGCTCATCAGACAGCATAACCCGGCACTTGAGTTTGAGCTGTGGCTCAACGCTTAGAACTCAGCTCCGATTGAGTCGTGTCGTTTCGAGTGGAGGGTGGAATAGAATGATATTTATGCATTTTTAGAATATCGATTTAAAATTTGAATACTTTGGAAAATCCTTGTCTTCTTACTATAAAAAAAATGGAATTATACTGAACTTTCTATAAAATTTGAAATTTACTGATTTTTCCCTGTCATCGAATATAAAACCTGGAACTTTCTCTAAGAATTCCTATTGAATTTCTATTGGAGCTCTATGAGAATTCTATTCGAGTTTCATTGTAATTCTATTGAAAAACTCTATTATTTTTTGCGTCAATTCCATTGAAAATTATGCAACTTTCCTCTGGATTTTTAATAGATATTTGTTTCTAGAAAAAAATCAATTTATTTTTCTAGATATTTTATTCTGTTAGGATTTCTTCCATAGAAACTATTGGGGATGAATTTTCCAAGTTTTGTTCCTGCATTTGATTAAAAGAAAAGAAGAAAAACCGAGCGGAAAAAACTTAGAAATCTTACGCCTAAGAAAATCTATAGGAACATAAAAACCTATTTACTTTCTTGCACCAAATTTTACCTTAACAAAAAGACTCTATGAAGTTGCATAATCTCCTATAGAATCGGCGCAAGAAACGAATAGAATTCTAATAGAACTTCCAGAGAATTCTCATAGAATTCCAATAGAAATTTAATAGAAAGCGCTAGGTTTTTCTGTTGAATTTTTTCATGCGTGTTATTTTGGCATACCTGTATTCAACATTTCCCTAATAAATCGTAGAATATTCTTAGAACTCGTAGGCCTATCGAAAAATGAAGAATATCCTCTCCTGTAGCGTTGATAATTAATAATAAAGGTTCGTTAACGTTTTTCAAGTGATTATTTTTCTTGATTTTGTTTGTTGTATTCGCGAGAAAAAAGAAAGTTTTGACTACGTTTCAGTGAATTGTTCTACCTTGTATTTTCAGATTAATCCCATTCGATTAGTTAATATCACGTTATTTCTGATGAGCTTGTGATTGTTCATCTGAAAAAGCATGCCATCTTCACATTTATTCGATTGTTTTTTCGCTCAAATCACGATGCCATCGGACCTGTCAAATCATTATTGAGGTTAAGTATACTAGGATTGAGTAATTGGAGATGAACCTGAGGTTGAGCAGTGGCCATTCAACTAAACCCCGGCGAAGCGTTTCGCATAATAGTCTAACGCTGGGCTGTGAGCGCGTGACGCGGCTCAACCTCGGGTACATGTGACGCGCGTGGAGTTTATCCCAAGCTGGGGCGGAGTGGCGTATTTCTAGCTGGGATACGGGTTCCGAGCCGAGCTCGAGCGGCGTGATTTCTACCCGGGAATCATTACGTGACGCGGCGATTCGAAATTCTTTAAATCATTTTCTTTGTCAATTGCCATGGGTCAATCTACTGTATTTCAGGCATACTCATACCCACGGGGTCGGAGGAATCTATGGATACAGTCATCACGTGGCGCGGCGATTCAA